TCTATAAGGATTGATAGTAATTTGTAAACAAATATTGTTTTTTTCTAGATTAACCTTGAACATACTTGTAAATATAAATATTATTATGAAAAATATTTTAGTCTATTATGAAAAGTTTAATAAAAAAAAAAGTCTTTAACGAATAATAATAGTTCAAGAAATAAGCATTATAATTTATTAGAATTATGTTCTCATTTCACTTGATGTTATAATGATATTAACCATTGCTGATAAATCGTGTTTTTTTTTGCCTATGCTTATTCAATAGACTCTATGTACATCATTACAATTACAAAAAATGAAGTATCGTCAATCATTATTTATTTATAGTACAATAATTTTGTAAATTACAGAATATTTTTTGTATGAAAGAAGGGTAAAAAATCAATATGATCGTTGTTGTTTCTAAAAAACAAAGGCTTGTAGCAATTTATAAATGGAATTTTTACAATTGAAAGTGCGGTCGTAATGCATGCTATGTTTTGTATATTCTCTACAGTTTCTTTTTAATTCATGTCTGAAAAAAATGAAATAAATATTTCTATTTTTGATATTCTATCGATTTCATAGTTTTTGATTCATTAATATTACGAAGAATAATCGTAAAATAAACGTATATGTTTATTTGACTGTTTTTTTTGTTGGAAAAAAAAGAAGGAGAATGTTCACATATTGTCCCATCCATCTGGATTACGCATATTGACTTGTCGTCGTTTGAATTCATTTTTGAAATCATTACCAAGATAATCAAGATCTTTTTCATCACGAATAACACCCTAAATCAAAATTAAAAAAAAATATATGTTTTAGTTTTTTTTAAAACTTCTTGGTTTATTTTTATTACTTTTGGTAAATATCCCAATAAACGATGAGCATGTTCACGAAGTAATTTAATACGTTCTTCTTCGATAATTTGTTTACGAATTTGTTCAATACGTTCAGCTTCAACACGTTCATCAATTTCACGTTGCTAAATAAACAAAAAAAATCGATAAATCATTGTATGAAATATTTCTAAAAAATACAAACTTTATCAATTGACATTTGACGTCGACGTTCTTCAAGTAAAACATCAACAGCTCTTTTATGTTCCACTTGTTTCATACGACGTTTTTGAGCATTCATTTGTTCAATACGATCATCTTCAGCAAATTTCGCCATTAACTATACAAATTAAAAGAGACAATAAAAATTTTATAATGAATATCTTTTTTTTTTTCTCTTTCAAACTTGTTGTCTATATCTTTCTTCTTCGTGTTTAATTTCATCATCACGTAAACGTTTAAATTGTAATTGTTCATCGCGTTCACGTTGTAATTCAAGACGTTGTCTTATACGTGCTTCCATTTCATCACGTTCACGTCTTCGTATAGCTTGTTCTTGTTCTTCTAAATATAATTCTTGTCGAACTAATTCTTGTTCTTCACGTTCTTCACGATCACGTTTTATTTGTTCAGCTAATGTACGTTGAACTTTATCTAATGCTTGTTCACGTGCACGTTTTTCAGCTTTAGCTATTTCTCCACGTTGTTCTTGAGCTTTAGCAAATTCTGTTATACGACGATTTTCTTCTTCCATACGTTGACGTTCCATAATTTTCCATTCTTCACGTTTACGTTTAAATTCAGCAATAAATTCACGTGTAGCACGTTGACGTTCCAATTTACGTTCCATTTCACTATATGAAGAAAAACAAAAATAAAGAAGATATTGTATTTCACAAGCAAAATCTTAACTGAAACTTGAGAATTAAAATCAATAAGTTTATTTGCAAAGAGTTTTCTTGTCGTTATGCTTTACATTAAATGAAAGTGTAATTAGATTCGATGTCTTATGATCATTACAATCTTTATCTCACTTATTAACTTACAATGATTATGAATTTAATATGCATGGACTGTCAGTGTTAGAGATGTGCGAGATTATCCTACCTTACTCTGCAGGATAGGGTAAGAGTTACAAAATTTGTCTCAGTTAGGATACAAGGTACACAAAAAACTTACCCTGCACATCTCTGACATGATGCTATTTTGCTATTTATCACTTTTAGAGTCTTTCAAGAAGATACTATTGGGTCGAAAATTTCCGGACTCGAGACTTACTCGACGGGCTCTAATTCCAACTAGAGCAGGGTTCAGACTTCGTAGGATAAGATAAACATTAGAAAATTTGTTTCACAAGGGAATATCTCCAAGTGTGTCTCATCAATCGAACTGATGTTGAGACAATAAGTAAGCCTCAAAGCGAGACTAGTAGAAGTCTATAAGAGTTTGTTCCTATGTGCTGTTCTTCTTAAGTTATTACAACTTTACTGAATTTTATTAACTCTGACAAGGTATTTGTGAAAAAATCGAATTAGAAAATTTCAATGTAAAGAGATGCGTTTTTCTTGAGATATATTGAATATCCAAAAACAATAATGTATCATAAGGAGAGAGGTCCACGAGACTCATCTATCAACAAAATTTCAAGTTGAAATTTTTCTAATTTACAAATACCTTGCTGGAGATAAAGGGTTCAACAGGATTGTAATAACTTAAGAAAGATAGCACACAGCAACAAATCCTTCTTATGGGCTTAATATCAGTGTGATTGGCATATCACACTTGAGGATCTTCCTTCATCAGTCAGGATACAAAAAAAAACTTACCCTACATATCTCTAGTCAGTGCATAGGAGTCGAAAGGACAGTGATCCTACAAAGGCAGGTTTTTCTCTGCCTGAGTTTGTGGTTATTGCACCATGTACAACGTGTCTGTGCTTCCAAAAATAAGTGTTAGCCCTTTCAGGAGATAAATCTGAGGAAAACACTGAAAGCTAGCTACTGCAAATCTATTTTGTTCTCTACAACCATATCAAAGAGTTTTATTCCAAAGTGTTCAGTTTTATCGATTCGTTCAATTGAATGTACAGAAAAAAAAATCGAGTTTTGTTAATTATTCTTCAATTTCGACACATACTGAATTATCATCTCCAGTGTCGCTGCGACATATCTTTTTCCTCTTTGACTTTAGTCTAATCAAAAGAAACAACTGTTTCATTTGAAATCATGTAAAATAAAAGTTGTGTTTATGAAAAACCTTTCTGCGTTAAACGCAATTCAAATTATAAAATGATTCACATTTGATCAATCAATATTTTTATAAACTTACCGTTGATCTTCTTCATAAATCTTTCGAACAATTTCATCAACAACCAATTTTTCTCGTAGAAATTCTTCATAAGCTTTTTGTTTATTAATTTCACGTTCTTCAAGTTGTCGTTCAAGTTCTTGTTTATAACGTACCATTTCTTGTTGTCGTATAATTTCCCGTTGACGACGTTCTTGTTCAGCTTTATCACTTTCATTACGCATACGTCGAGCAATTTCAGCATCTTCTAAATATGAATCAAATTTTATTGCTTCTTTTTCAGCCATTTGTGCTGTGCGTTCTTTTTGAACATAAGCAGCACGTAATTTTGATTCTAATTCACGTAATTCATAGCTTGTTTCACTAAGAAAAAAAAAGCAAAAAAAAGAATTTCATAATTAAATGTTTTTGTTCTTTGCTAATACCGAATTTGTTGTCGCATTTTTTCATCACGTAATTTTTCATGTTTTATACGTTCAAGTTCCGTAGCTAAACGTTCTTCTTGACTTCGTGCTTCAGCAGCTAATTTTTTTTCACATTGTGCTTTTATAATTGCTTCTTCCATAGCTCGATCACGTTCAACACGTGCTTGTTCACGTATATGTCGTTTATTAGCTGCTTTAGCTTCAAAGTCTTGCATTTCAGTTTCAATACGACCTTGTGCTAATTGTCGTTCACGTAAAATTCGTTCAGCTTCTTGTTCACGTTGAATATTTTGATTAGTTATCCAACTATTTCCACCATTACTTCTACCGCCTTGTTGTTGTTTATATAATTGGCGAGTTAAAGCCTAGAAACATAAGATTTTTTTTCGAAAAGTATTTGATATGTTAAATGATTTACCATTTTTTTATTATAGAGATGAAAAAATTTGATTGAAATTGAAGAAATATTAACTTTGGATTAGTTATGCCGTTGTTCGGCTAGGCAACTTCAAAAAAAAGAAATAAAAACGTTTGTTCCATTTTGTAAACACTTTCTATGGTAGTTACCTCTCATATCAACATTTATCTTCATCGAATATATTTCGTTGTATGTGAATTCAAAATTTGAAATACAATTTAACACAATTTAATTATTAGTTTTTTTTTATTTTAATTCAATTACTTATTTATAGATGTCGGTAGATATTAGTACCTGAAGTTGTTTATAAAAAAATGTACGGTTGAATGCCATTGAAAAATCATGTCTGAGACTTTGAATAACAAATTAGTTTTATTTATAATTGATATACATATATTAGTTTAGATTATTCGTGTAGATTCCTGTTGTCAGCAAGTATGTCTAGAGTAAATGTTTTTGAAGTAGAGTTTATTATACCTATCGTATCATCATTTCTCACTTTTAATATTCAAGAAGACTATAAGGAAAAAAATTTGAGTAATTCGTATAACTTTAAACTTATTGAGCCTTTATCATGTATTAGAATTAGACAAAAGTTTTAATTCATTGTTGTCAACATAAGTATATGATCAAAATTTACTGTATAAAATGTCCACTTTTTTAATTTGAACTATTTTTATGTTTATCTCTTCTATATAAAATACGATTGTTAAAAATTACTGATATCTATAATGAAAAGTTTAGACAAAACGATTTCGATCATTATCAATGTATACTAACAGAAAACTTTATTTCATCATAGGATGATATTCCATAGTTCATCTTGTTGGAATCCTTCGGAAATTTTTTTTTTCTTAATAATTGCCTAGTTTATATAGATTTTTGTTTTAAACAAAAGATATTCAAACACGATAATAAGGGATGTAAAAACAAAAAAAAAAATAAGAAAAGCATTGAGAAAGGTCATCATTTCTTTTGTATAATTCTTTTTTTATCTTTCCAAATTTCGATGCACTGTTTTTGTTTTTAAGATTTGTTTGTTGCTTTTTTAGCTTGAACCATTCTAGCTAATTCTTTATAACGTTCTAAACATTCTTTTTTACTTCTTGTAGGTAAACATTCAGCTATTTGATCCCATCGTGATGGACCTAATGTTGCTGGATATGTTCTTAATGCTTGTTCAAATATACGTTGTTCATCAACTGTCCATGGTATTGTTGTTGGTATATCTAAATCACGTTCACTAAGTGTTAATTGATTAAGTTTAACTTGATTTTCTAATGTTGTTGTTTGTTTATGTGAATTAAGTGCAATATGATCTAATGATGATATTGTTTCTTCAACTTCTTTTTTACCACTTGCAATATCTTTTGCTTTTTGCATTATATCTTGTACAGTACGAAGTGGATTTCCACCACTACGTTTAAGATATTCTAGTACAACTAACCAACGATTTTGTACACCAGCTGGATATATTCGAAGTGCTTTAACAAGTAATTCAATTTCATCTGATGTCCATTTTAATTTCGAAGTTGAATTTAATGATGATGATGTTGATGATGATGATGATGATTGTTGTGATAATTCTAAACGTGATTGTTGTATTTGTTCATCCATTTTTTTAACTTCAGATAATATTATTAAACGTTGATCAACATTTTCTTCTTTTAATTTTTCATTTAATAATTTTAAATCTTCAATTGAAAGATATTCAATTAATGTTTCAATTTGTTCAATTTGTTTTAAATTTGGTGGTGAAGCAGAATCATTAAAATAATTAACTTCTTTACATAAATCACGTAATTGTTTCTTTTCTTTTCTAAATATGAACAAATGAAAGAAATCTCTAGGAGATTATTCGAAAAATTAAAACTTTAATTAGAAAATTTACATCAAATGTATGACTAATTTTTAGAATTTTAACTTGAAAATCTTAGAAGACTGAAATTAACATTATCTCTGAACTTTTGTTACTTTTCGCATCTGAATACGGATATCGGATTGAAGCACTCTGAAAGGTATATATGCTCTTCGTCGAAAGTATTTTTTGGTCACGGAGGGCGTCCCAAAGGTGAGGGCAAAATGAGTTGACCTCTTCATACTGAACACGCCTATATAAGAATTAAAGGACTCGTAACAGTCTAAAGCGTTCTATGAGTCTTTCGACAAAGAGAGTTACAAGCATTATTTGAGACTGAAAAG